GGGGGGGGTCACTAATTCGGACAAGGGGGGGAGGGGGGGTCTGAAAATCCATCATTTGGCCGGACATCCTTTGTGAATGGCCCCTTGGAAACCCGACAATTAAGAAAAAATGGCTGGAATTCATCTCACAACACAAGAAAAACTATGCATTCGCCATCGTTAACCAGTTTATAGTGTCCCTCAATGCCCCTGCTTTAACACATTCCGTCTCAACTACATTTGTTGAGTACAAGTGTCAGCCCCCCGGTAGGGGGGGGGTGTGCAACCACCACAGCTGTTCAGCTAAACTCAATCTTCTCTGCAAAAACGGACCCAAGAGAAAATCCTGAAAAAAACCCTGTTATTTGTACTACAAGAAATGGCCCAAGGCATCAAAACAGGGGACAGCCAAAGAATCACCCATGGAGCTACAGTTATAATAATACTCTATCACATATTGTAACTTGATTGTACAGTTATAATTATTAATTTGATAATTATTCTTTGACCAAGTTTAATTAAAATAATACAAAATTAATCATGATTTTGAACAAACATGTTGCAGCTTGGTACTGAGTTTCATTAACAGACAACAGTGGCATGGACTCATGCATTGTTGGAAAATTCTGCATCTCTATTGTTTTGACACTATTTTCATGACCAATTTTGTTGTTTTGACTTCATTTTGACCAAGTCAGTCAGGTGAGGATCTATCTTGTCTAACATTTAGAGATCTTGTCTTGTTCAAGTGAGATCTCAAACTGAGCCAGGTTATCCATGCAAATTGCAAGGAATTTCCACTATAAAAATATTAAAATAACCACACAGTGAAGTCTCGCTTACTGCAATATGGCAAAACTAGAGACTCACAATTAACTTAATATTTGAGGGATGGGGCAAACAAGCTAATAGCCTTTTAAAGACACATACAACAAACTATCATACAAATGATACAATACAATACAATCAGAGAGCACATATTAAAACTACAATGTACAATTCTGGATATAAAACATGCCTTCTCACTTCAGCTGGCCCTACTAGGCAGCTGAGCTTTTTCCTGCACCAGTTCACCACAAGCTCATGCATAACAAAACCCTTGACTAAATATATAAAACCTTAATTTCCTCTTTAATACACCAGAACATCATAGTTTCATCATACATGTACTGTTGTGCAACTCGATATTGCGAGGGATGAAACATTGCATAAAGTTAATACAGCTAGTAAATATACAAAAAGGTTTATCTACAACCACATTATAAACACTTGTGGCTTATTTTCTAAAAAATAGAGTACATTTTACCATTTATTCCTAACATTTTTTCATGAAATACTAAAATAAAAATGTGAATTTTAAAATGTTTACCTGTTTATAGTTGACTGCATGTTTATAGACTGCTGTTTATAGCCCGGCTTGAAATATCGTTTTTGTCCACATTTTGTCCTCGTTTTTGTCCATAGTTGTTTGTTGTCTTTCACGGACGGAGAATAACGTGTACGACTTTCACATCCTTGAACAAATGGTCAAACGTCGAAAAAATATGTCGAAAATAACAAAACAACAAGAATTCACTGCAAAAATCCGAAATATTTTTTTCAGAAACCAGGGGTGTGTGAAAACTGTTGACAATTGAGCCTTGTTCAATTGAGCTGGTGACAATTGAGCCTTGTTCAGTGGTAATTACCATGAATTTAGGGACCAGTAGTCATGGAAATGGCGTCATTTTCACTCAAAATCCGCCATGTTTTTGGCTTCACTTGGTTGACTGAACGAAGTATAGGAGCAGGTCCTCCAGTTATTATACAGCTCAGTGGTCATGTCACTACATAACCCGCGAACAGGCATACTCTGGGAACGAGATTGTAAAGCATACTGTATATATCACTGATCATTCTAATTCTTCCAATTCCTAAAATAATTGTTAGAAATATTATCTATGATTGAAACACGCCAGTTCAAATAGGATTTGGATAATATAATTTAGGTTTCCATTGTTTTGACTTAAAGGATAACTACATCCAATTCTTTTAGATAAAAGTTGAAACATATTGTGCTAATAATTTTTGCAGAGCTTTGGATCACGATAAATAAAGAAACGATAATGAGCTTTTCCAGTTAGTCAATCCAAGTAGCGCTAAAATCATGAATTTATGCCTGAGTTGTAAAACTTTGGCTTGCGATAATACATCATTGTCTAAGCACAAAGTTGTTTGCATTTGCATATTGTATTTAAATGGAAATGTCTTGGCCTACAAAATTAATGCCGCTTGTCTGGTAGCCTGCTTACTACTCTCGCAGTGGTAGCGTACTGAAATTTGATCAGTTGCATTTCATTTGCGCATGTAGCTCCAGCTTAAACATCCGTTAAATATGTGTATTAATTCACGGCAAAGTGATATTTTATGGGGTGTCTGGAGTACACAACATATAGTACTGTGGGTGCTCTGTTTAGCTTTTGTCTTGTGAAAGCTATTTAATATTCATAATGTTACAATACTTCTATACCTGCAGATAAATTCACTCCTTGAGACACTTGCTACCATACAATCAAAATTAGAGAAAGAGTTGCCTGAGCTACGTGACAGAATTGAAAGATGTGAAAAACTTGGCGCGGAGAACACGAAGGAATTAAAACTTGTTGACAAAAAGGTCAATACGGAACTCTTGAAATATCATAGTGAGCAAGAAGAAAAGATTCCTTATATTTTCGACGCTCCAGACAGAAACCAGTATTTCTCCGGACGAACTCGAGAACTTCGAGATCTTCAACGTATTCTAAATCTTGAAGATACTGGGCTAGAAAGGAACGTTTGTGTAGCAGCTGTCTGTGGTTTGGGAGGCGTTGGCAAAACAAGTCTTGTCACTGAGTATGCTTACAGGATGGAGGAGTATTACCAAGGTGGTGTTTGCTGGTTCTCGGCAGAAGATGATGCATTGTTTGAAAAGTCTGTCAATGACACTGCTTTGAAACTTGATGCCTTACTTGGGACATTCGATTTGACTTTGACAAATACTCTCATACAAATTGGCAAGACAAGTAAACCATGTTTAATCGTTTTGGACTGCTTGGATCAACTTAATCTCTCTCCCAACGTCTTGAAGTTTCTTTCGCTCGTTTCAAGACAAAGTGTCTCAGCAGCTGTTGTTGTGATGACCAGAAGAAATGAAAATAAGCTTGTAGATGAGATTTCAAATCTTCATAAAGATCGTTGTCTTAGTTTGACATGTCTAGAAGAAGAAGAGGCGAAGCAGTTTGTGTTTCGCAGGACCGGGTTGACTTGCGATGACAACACGAACAGTGTCGCCGAAAGTCTAGTTAATGAGCTGGGAAGATTGCCACTCGCTCTAGAGCAGGCAGGAGCTTATATTAAAGCACTTCGTTGCGACTTATCTGACTACCTTGAGCAATTTCAAACTGAACGCTTGAAACTGTTGAAAAGTCAGAAAGCAAAGCAAGTATCAGTCTATGAATCACCTGAACGCCTGACGGTTCACACGACATGGTTGTTAAATATCAAACACATCAAGGAAAGCCCGCACGGTATGTCCGCCATCCGACTCGTGAACGCTTTTGCATTCCTTAATCCAAACGAGATCGAAGAAGAATTAGTCAATGTTGGTGAACGTCCAATTGAAGACAAAGCATTTCGTGATTGTTTGAGCTCACCTCTCGGTTCTCGTCAAGTTGTTAAACTGTTGACTGATTTTTCACTTTTCACGTATGTCCATGCGCCTTCTCTCAGTATCCATCGCCTAGCTCAAGAGCTAGTCAGGGAAAATCTTGATTCTGAGGACAAAGCTAATAGTTTTGTTGATGCAGTACGCTTGCTTTCTTTCGCATTTTCTAAATGCGCCTCTCCAAAACATCTACTGAGTAATGTTGGTATGGAAGGACCCTTGAAAGCCTATGATTTACCTAGAAACTACTCTCAATATTACTTGTGGTCTAAGCTTTGTTTACATGGCTTTCATCTTCAACAGAATATGACGAAATTACTAGGAAACCTTGATCCAAAATGTCTAGATTCGCTTTTTGTTTTCGAAACAGCTAAAATATTTTATGAATGCGCTTTTCATTTAAGTGCTAATCAGAAACAAGAAGAGGCCAAAGGCACACTAAATTTTGTTTATCGAATACTAGACTGGATTCCTGTAGAAGAGTACGACACCATTCAAAACAGTCTTTCGAATAACTCTCTGTTTCGTTCACATGTTATTCCTTTGCCAAAGTGGCTTCAGATGGTGATAAAAAAATGTTTTGTACCTCCTATGAGTTTTCTTGAACCTCTTGATGAAAAGCCCACGCTGGAGATCGAGGGCTCTGAGTTGCATGATTTGGAGGAAAATATTGAAAAGCTTAGATTAGATGGGAATACAAAATTTGAGACTGGTCTCTACAAAGACGCAGTTGATATTTATTCTGCTGGCATAGATATGAGTAGAGGTACAACTGTCTTTAACGCTTTATTGCTTACTAACCGTGCTGCAGCTTATATCAAGCTGAACCAGCTTGATGACGCTTTGAAAGATGCAAATGAATATATATCGCGATTCCCAGATTGCTGGAAGGGGTATGCTAGAAAGGCTTTGGCACTTGACGGGAAAGTCAGTGCTGAAATAGCTGCAGCACTAGCTTATTATTATTTTTCCCTAAAAGATGATAGATGTATTTTTTCAGAATATAATCCATTCAACGGAGCGTTTCCAGGTTTAAGGGACCGTATTTTCATTTGTCATACTGTAGATCAGTTAAAGGTAGCATTGGTATCGCCCATTGCACAAGACTGTCTGCGGGTTATAATTTTGGGATCAAAAGAGTATTTAGTGCCTTTCGTCTCCATACGTGCGACGAACTGCATCATAGTTGGTGCAAAATCAGATGCTTCTGTCACTTTAAACCTCGAAGGTAACGCATTGTTTCACTTGTCTGAAAAATGTATGCTTGCAAATCTTTCTTTTGCTATTGACAAAGGTCAAATCATAGGTTTGCGTGGCTCTTTGGTTAAGATCCTTAACTGTAATTTTATTTCCAATAGTGATGAATTGCCAGCTGTTGGATCTGCCGGCGTGTTTAACGCAGAGCGATGTAACTTTACTAACTGCAAAGCCGGTGGGCTGCTGTGTGGGGGGCCTGGTAATATGGTTGTTGATGACTGCACATTTTCAGATAATGTGAAATTTGGCTTAGAAGTGCGCGAAAATGGAATACTGACAGTGAGAAATAGTCGTATGTATAACAACGGTCTGGATGGCTTGGCAATAGGACCGAGGGTGGGAAAATGTGACGTATTTAATTGTCAAATTTATAACAATGCACGCGAAGGAATTGCCGCCGTTGACGATTCCAAGTGCGTTACTCTCGTGAGAAATTGTGTTTTTGATAACTACGGGAGTGGTATATTTGTGAGAAATTCGGAAGTTGATTTGAGAGAGAATAAGTTTTGCGATAACGAAGCTTGGGGTATTTGGTTGGACAGTTATTATCGGTGGAATGTATCGATGAATGAAACTTTTTGTAACAAACTTGGAGGAGTTCGTGTTGGAGGAAAACGGCGCATCGGAAAAGGATTACCTCCCTCAGTTGTTGAATTGAATACGTCCCATGATAATTTTGGCCCTGGATATGTTGACAGCGTTTACTCTATCGATGAGTGTATCCTTTTTCCCAAAACAAGCAGTGATTGTAAATCTGCAAAATACGACCTAAATGTTGAGTACAATAACGAAAAGAGGATTACTGCTAACCAATCGAGACTGTGCTTATGTTATTGTTCTGCGTGCTTTCGAAAGTTTGAAGATTTGAAACCGTGTGAAAAATGCTTTACTGCTGGGTATTGCAACCTAATTTGCAAAAATAGGCACCGGTCAAAACACACGAAATTATGCAAGGTTCTACGCGACAAGTCCAGCTTTTTACTCCCTTCCATGACCAATCACAATACTGACGACAGCGTGGCTCTGAAGTCTTATATTCACGCGAAAGGTGTTGATGGTGTTGGACCAGAATACAGTCCTCCTCCACCAAGAGATGGCAAAAGATTCATTGTTAAAGTGCAAACGGATTTCGATCGTAGCATACCTATGATTGGGGGAACACCGTACACGCTTATCATTTACGACCGAAGTCTTGATGTTCTCCAAACCATTCAAGCTGAATTTATTCACCGTCTTGTGAAAGATTTTGGTGTCCTTTGTGAAAGGAAATTTCAGGAGAAGAAGCTCTTCTTTAACTGCGCATTTGACAAGACAGGAGAGCTACGATTGTTCATCAATGATTTCGCTGACTTTGAGAAATGGTAAACTTCCATGTACCATTGATGAATCTAAACACTCGAGAAAAATGAATGTGAAAGCTCATCGGATCAGTCGCTTTCACACTTGTAGTGATAGTCACCCGATATCACTAAGCGGATATTATGCTGTTTTGGCTGAAAGACATTAATAACTTTTGGAACTTCTACAAACATTATTTTTAGTCATATTATTTTAAACCTTTTAGGAAGTAGACTCGCCTAGATTTAATCTTTACGCCGCAAAAACTATTAACATAAAATTTCCTCTTGGCAGCCAACACTTGTACATATTTATATCTTGTTATCACTTCTAGCCTAATTGTATTAACGCGCCTTAATTATCTTGACACTAATCTTAATTGCTTTTCCGCCTCGCCTCTTCTAACTCGCCTATAAAATAACTTGTAAATATTCTTACTAGGACAGTCTTACTTAACTTTGCGCTCTAGCGAGTAATCGTGCTCAACTCATTACTAGATATTAAATGACGACTCCACAATTGTGAAGTAAAATAAATGTATCAAATTATCTATTAGCATTCTACGTATTTTCACAAACACTATAACAAATCAATACTCGCGCTAAACACTAATTAGGTGTGCACAAGTCTTGAAAACCTTTACAAATATCCACGTTCTACCTGAAAATAGGCAACTGTTTCTTTCTATGACTATTCATCTTTAAATGCAACAGATGGTACACGTGCTTAAGACGGAAGTACAGTTTGCATGTGAGCAAGGTACAATAATGTGATACATTCGTATAATTGACCAAGCCGTATAGCCTCATGAGTATCTGAGTCCTGTTACAAATAGAGCCTGACACAAACATTAACCTGGTCGCTCTCTACTTCACAGTAAAGTTTATATTTAATATCGAATCAAATTGTCCATGGGGAATCTTCCTTACGAACAACTTCTCTTCCATATATACAAGTGGCCTGTTATTTACAGATATTTCTGATCACTTGCCTGTGTTTTAAATTAGCTGTGAAGGCATGAATTATTGTGATAAATCTAATGAAAAAATTACTTTCAGAGATAAAAAACAAAACTAATATAAATAAATTCATTGAGCAATTGGGTAGTATTAACTGGTCCCAACTTAAATATTATGATGACCCTTACAATTCTTACAATACTTTTTTAGCTAAGTATACAGGAATTTATAACAACTGTTTTCCTTTAAGAAGAATAAAGATAAAACATCACAAGATTGACAAGCCTTGGTTATCAAAAAGTTTGCTAAGATCCATAAAAAAGAAAAATAAACTATATAAACAATATATAAGTGACCCAACTCTTGCTAATGAGATATCTTATAAAAAGTATAAAAACAAATTGACCCACTCTTTGAGAGTTGCTAAATCATTATATTACACAAAGAGATTAGAAAATGAGAAATCAAACATTAAATCTACTTGGAAGACACTTAATGAAGTCATAAATAAGAAGCGTTCAAAATTGAAATTCCCATCATCATTTAAAGTAGATAATTTTGAAATTTCTGATCCTATAGAAATTGCTAATAGATTTTGTAACTATTTCTCAAATATAGGTCCAAATCTTACTAAAAGAATACAATCTACTCCTAACTCTCATCTAAATTCTCTTGTAGGCCAATATCCTAATTCCATATTTTTTAACCCGGCAACAGAAAATGAAATTATTGAGATTTCTAAAAGTTTTCAATCAAACAAAACATATGGATATGACAAAGTTCCCATGTTAATAATAAAGCAAACTATAAACATAATTGCTAAACCTCTAACTCATATTATCAACTTATCTATTACTCATGGTATTGTGCCAAATGAAATGAAGATTGCTCGTGCTATTCCCCTGTTTAAATCAGGTGATAGAACACTATTTACAAATTATAGACCAATTTCTATTCTTCCTTGTTTCTCGAAATTTCTGGAAAGAGTTATATATAACCGGATGTTTGACTCTTTAGACCACAATATTCTTTTTGATAAGCTTGACCATTACGGAATTCGTGGATTAGCTTTGGACTGGATGAAGAGTTATTTCTCAAATAGAACACAATTCGTTCAATTTAATGATTACTGTTCCTGTCCTAATAAAATACAATGTGGGGTCCATAGATATCTTATATACACTAGATAGCGCATCTAATTATTCTGCAATTCAAAAATTGAAGCCGTGATTGCAGGCTCAGGATCTTCCCATGAAATGAGAAGATTCGTATGTATCCTATTTCTTAAACAGGGAACTTAAACATTAAGTTAATCCTATTATAAATACATTTTCAAACTATTTAAATGATGAAAGTTATTGTTATTTTTTAAGCGTTTATTAGCGAGTGGGAAGCTCCAACATGGCCGCCATCTATTCAAATGGGGGTAACCGCTGGGATATTCTTGGCTTCAATTTTACTAAAAGAGATGCGCCATCTAGTTTATATAAGATATCTATGGTGGGGTCCCACAAGGTTCTATCCTTGGTCCGCTGCTCTTTTTAATATATATCAATGATATAATCCATGTGTCAAGTATATTGGAGCTTATCTTATTTGCGGATGATACAAACTTATTTATTTCGAATAAAGACCCAATAGAATTAACTAATATTTTGAATATTGAAATTAGAAAATTGTCAGACTGGTTTAAGTCAAATAAGCTTTCATTAAACTTAGAAAAACAAAATTTATTGTATTTAAACCAAGACAAAAGAAATATAATTATACTTTTCAAATAATCATTAATAATGAATATATTGAGCAAGTGAAAGAAACTGTCTTTTTAGGGGTAGTATTGGATGAGGAATTATCTTGGAAATCACACATTTCGTATGTAGCACGTAAAATGTCTAAATCTATAGGAATAATGTTAAGAGCCAGTTTTTATCTACTTAAGAAATCCTTACTCACTTTGTACTATTCAATTGTTTACCCGTATATCCAATATTGTAATATTGTTTGGGCTTCAACGTATCCAAATAATCTTCATCGTATCAATATACTGCAAAAGCGACCAATTAGAATTCTAAATAAATGTAAATTTGATGCACATACAGAACCTTTATTTAAGAACTGTTCTATCCTTAAAGTTAATGATATTCTTCTATTTCAACTGGGTAAATTTATGTACTCTTATCGCAGTGGTCTTTTACCAAATAAATTTAATGACATGTTTCTATTAAATTATCAAGTCCACTCATATAATACAAGGAGTGCGATGGCCATTAGAACTCCATTGTGTCGTACAAATATCCGACAATTTTCTGTAAGATTTCAGGGTCCAAAGTATTTTAACTCACTACCTATTGATATTATTAATATTACTTCTTTTGTTTCTTTTAAAAGAAAATAAAAAAATTATTTATTATAAAATAAATAATTACCTTATACATTAAAATGATTTTTTTATTTCTTATATATCTAACGAAATGAACGAATATTCTTTGTTACTGTGCGCTAATAGAATCAAGTGTGTACCTATTTATAATTGGTGTGAATTTATATTTAATTATTATCCATTAATACCTACACTCATATTGTCCATAATTTATCAAATCTTGAAATGTTATTTGATATTTATATATACCCTCGATAAATGAGGAAGCTTAAATTTACATAAGCCTTATGGTTTCTTATTTTAAGCTTCCTCGCCACTATTATCATTAATTATTGTAAATAATTTCTTTTTTCTTTACAAGATGTTGTAATGGTGGCAAATTAAATTATTATTATTATTATTATTATCTAATTATAGTTGAAACTACTAGCCTAAATATATTATGAACAATAGATAGTGTAATCTATTTAGCACTAACTAATAAAAAAGATAACAAATGTTTGTCTGATAAACCAATCAGGTGAATAGCCAGATTTTGACTTTTTTACATGTGGGCAGACAAGGATTTGTGTCAGGCCCTCCTCGCTTCCCTCCACCCGCATTTAAAGAAAAACAAGGCCTGATACTCGGGCTAACCCAGCAGGAGTTATGGAGACTTTAAAGACGAATTTATTGACAATCATGTGAAAGAGACTGTTTGCATATCGATATATGTATAGTATCCATTTTCTGGTATATATAACCCCAGTTGCGACCATCAAATTATTAGGGATTTCCGCTGACCACATGAAAAAAGAGATTCATTGATCTATAAAAATAAACTGCATGAATAACAAAATGGAGGACTGCGGAATTTTGTAATCATTATTAAAACATATACTAAATTATCTGAGAGTAACAATAGCTATAAAAAAGATAAAAGAGCATAGAACTTTCTTTGAGAATGCTTACTTAAATTAGTAATATTTCATTTCATTCGCGGTACCGCGAACCACAAGAAAATCATATTTTAATGCCTCAATAAATCAAGTATTTATATGACCATGGTTATATATACCGAAAGCCGGTATACTTTCTATTTCTAGATTCTGTAGTGGTACGTGCATACTATAAACTACACCCACATGCTCACCGAGATATTTGTCTGTAATAAATTTTTATACGACCATGGTTATATATACCGAAAACCGGTATATACTTTCTGTTTCTAGATTCTAGATTCTGTAGTGGTACGCGCATACTATAAACTACACCCACATGCTCACCGAGATATTTGTCTGTAATAAATTTTTATACGACCATGGTTATATATACCGAAAACCGGTATACTTTCTATTTCTAGATTCTAGATTCTGTAGTGGTACGCGCATACTATAAACTACACCCACATGCTCACCGAGATATTTGTCTGTAATAAATTTTTATACGACCATGGTTATATATACCGAAAACCGGTATACTTTCTATTTCTAGATTCTAGATTCTGTAGTGGTACGTGCATACTATAAACTACACCCACATGCTCACCGAGATATTTGTCTGTAATAAATTTTTATACGACCATGGTTATATATACCGAAAACCGGTATACTTTCTATTTCTAGATTCCAGATTCTGTAGTGGTACGTGCATACTATAAACTACACCCACATGCTCACCGAGATATTTGTCTGTAATAATTTTTTATACGACCATGGTTATATATACCGAAAACCGGTATACTTTCTATTTCTAGATTCTGTAGTGGTACGTGCATACTATAAACTACACCCACATGCTCACCGAGATATTTGTCTGTAATAATTTTTTATACGACCATGGTTATATATACCGAAAACCGGTATACTTTCTATTTCTAGATTCTGTAGTGGTACGTGCATACTATAAACTACACCCACATGCTCACCGATTCCATACAAATGGAAACTATAGCCTCATGCTCATCTAGATATTTGTCTCTAATCAAGCATTTATATGACCATGGTTATATATACCGAAAACCGGTATACTATATATTTATATTTGTGAGTGTGGGCGGAAAGATCTAGTAAGTATAAATGTGTCAGACTTTATTTTGACAATAAAGCCTAAAGGCTGATTGCAGGATAGTATGTCATGTATCACCTCGATTTCCTGATTATTTTCGGATTTACTGAATTCCGTACATTGCCGCATGAAATCCGTCGCCGGTTGACGAATTATTGCTTTCATATTTCTCAAAGCAGTTTGATTGTTTTGCAAAATTTTCTTTTCAATTGAATAACGGTGTCGTTGAATTTTACATTTGGTGATGGATGATTCTAAAACAAGCAAGACGAACTCGAAGGGAGAGAAATTTGTGAAAAAAAGCAGACGGCCGGTAAGATATAAAATTACATATAGAGATTACTTCATAGAGTTTAATTCAGACGAATTTAACTACAATTGCCAATTGTATTATCTGAAACGCGATGTATATTTTCACATGTGAAAATATAGCAATTTTGTGAAAGTATAGGTGTTAACTTGTGAGTTATGGATTTCTAAACATGTGTTATTGAGTTTTATCGCACGAACGTCTTGTCGCACATATCATGCAGGATTATTTCCAATCTTTCTGCCTCATTGTTGTATTAAAAGAGGGCATGACATGCATGCAAGACACATTAATTATGAAATTGATGAATTATGATAGTGTAATCTGTATGTTATATGCGTGTGTTCGGTTATTTTATTGACAGTCTTTTCCCAGTTTACACGCGGATACCGGATTCGGATGGTCACGACATCAACTTAAGTCATAAGACATTTCCCGGTCTTGTCTGCAAGTTTTCGTATTCAGTGAATTTTTTTATTTAATTCTGTTATATTATCATAATTTTGAGCGCTAAACTCGCCTTGAAACGGTCAAATTTGATGTCGTGAGCATGCGAATCCGGTATCGTGTTGTAACTACTAACTAGTGTACCCACTTTTTTGTGCGCATGCTCGGCAAGTTACTGGATGCATGCATCTGATTGGATGACGATCTGACGACGACACACTTTAAACTTGCTGAGCACGTGCAGTTGATCATTTTTCGCCCGGTCGCCTGAAAAAAAGTGGGTACATGATCGCGTAATAATCTTCCGCAGTGTTTACAACGGTGAGTTACGTCTCTGCATGTCTCTACTGGGGGTCTATTATAGGGGGTACGCATCTCCGAAAACTGCGCTGTTTTTCAAATTTTAACCGCAAACCGCGCGCTCATTTCTTTTTTAAACGTAACCGCGTTCAAACCGAGGCATATGTGGTAACATATTTCGCAACATATTTCGCAACATAATGTGAGGTAATAGACCAATAGTCCGTACGTAGTCGCCATTTCTATTGGAGTATTGAAGAGGGATCGAGCCGTTCACAAGGTTCACGCGAATCGGGTAGTATAACGAAGTCTTAGCAGTTGAAATAGCTATAAAAAGTCTTTCCTTCCATTGCTGCTTATGTTTTGTGTGAGGAACATGCAATCAAGTTGCTTAGGTTTGATTTCATCTTTTCGGGCAAATATTTATACTTTGAGACTGATTTCAGTTCGTAATTAATAGTAGCAATCGGCAAGTCAGGATATTAAAAGGCATGTTTTACTTTTACGGAATAATTTTTCCTTCAACTGAATTTCACAACCCCCGGTAATTTTTTTCCTCGAATTTTTAACAAATTAAGAATTTTTGGTGTTCTGGTGTTCCGTACTCCGGAATGATGCTGCTCCGGTGTTCCTGATTTTACTAATAGCCCGGCCACTTTGCCCATTTGATTTCATCCGTTTCAAGGCCCTGTGGAAAACCACAAACGCGCGATCGGAAGATGAATGCCATGAACTGAATTATTGCCATGAGCTTGTAAAATATTTCCTAACCGCATGTTAAAAACTATCCGAAAACCGCTATTTATTTTGGTCAATAACCGAATCCGGAGTGTTAATTTCGACATTTTCCGTCTCCGAACGATTTCCAGTTAACCGCAAACCGTACAAAATAACTGGATATAACCGAAATCCGACCTCAAAATATGGCTAAAACCGCATAACCGCGAAACTATAATAGGCCCCCTCTACTATGTGCTGGGGCCTTATATTTTTATACTGAAGACGCGCATAGCATAGCCATAGCGTGATGAAT